ATTTGTTTATTTATAAAATTTGTTTGCTGCCCATGTCGCCACAAGGCAACACCGTCTTGCTTGAGGACACTTAATTATGTGGTGTTGTGTACCTTTATTTGAGTAAAATGGAGTAAGTGGGCACTAGGAGGGGGAAGCTCATATAAGAGGAGTGGAAGGTCTTATTTGGGAGACTTACAATCAGCAGCTGTGCCAAATGCCTGAAGAATTCTGTCTCAGTTGGCACAGATGCTTGAACTCACTGGCTGAAGGACTTTGAATTGTTTAGGGTCATTACAAATGTAGGAACAAGTGACAAGTATTTATGGTGAGCGGCTGCTGACCTTAATTTAAAAAACTGCCAGTAATAAAGAAATGATATTGGCACGCCTTTATAATGGTTCTCCAAAACATCAATTCCCTTTCTCCAAAATACTTTTTCAGATCAGGTTTATAGCCCATAGGTGTATGCTGCTAAGCTACCTCCAGCAAGGGCCTACTTTGTTAAGTAAAATAGGTCACCATGAATATTTCACAGAATCTGATAAATAATTCATGTCCAAATTCAGTAGGGGGTTGATCCTATAGAGTAATTAGTTAACTTCCCTAGGAGTGGATGGAGGGCCAAGGGAGTTTGGCTTCACTAGCATCTCCTGCTCATACTTCTCCCTTCCACACGTGTGTGTGTGTGTGTGTGTGTGTGTGTGTGTGTGTTAGAAACCGACTGAGAAACTCCCATTGAAGTTGACTTTGTTGATTCTGCATGAAGCTCAAAGTAAGTCAGCTCTCGGCTATAGATCACGTAGTTTTAAATCTTTGAACGTGTTATATAGAGTATTTCTGGGCATAAACCAAAGCTCTTCTGAGCAGCCAAAGTCCCCTCCCCTCTCTTTCTCCTGGGATTAGCATTCCAGGTTCCCAGAATGAATTAAATTCACTAAAATGACCTGCCAAGGAGATTGCTAGCATAGCAGGGACTTTTAAAGCCTTCCTATGACATCATTTTCTTTGATTTGAAAATAAAGGCAGTGATTAATTTCAGCTTTACAAATTCCCTGCGATGAGAAGTAGGATGGATCCGGTCCAAAGTAGAAGGAATTAATAATAGGGTTTGGTACTAAAGACTGTGTTCAAACAGCAGAAATGTTGCTGAAAACCAGGACATTCTGTAATGTTTATGTTCCCCCACTACCCAGACAGACAGCATGCTATAAGTATAAGAGCCAGGGTATGGGTATTGAGGTTACTTGTTGCCAACCTAGCAAAAAGACGAGGTATGTGATTAAATCTGAGTGGGAGAGGTTTCTCTCTACCCCCTAATATGGAAAGCCGGACAGGCTTCAGTGCATGCCTAGGATTTTACTGGCTGTATTGAGTTCCCAGTACTGATAACATTCCAACAGCCATTTTTAGTTGTGACACTTCAGCATGATAGATTAAAGGAGTGAAGGAAGGCAATTTTGGAAGCGGAGTTATAGACTGGGAGGCATAGAACTAGAATTCCCCCAGGGGCCCTTTGTTGGGGTTTTACCTCTGGGAATTGCAAGCCTTAAATGACAAGTTTTGTTATACTTCCCACCGAACAAGGTGGAAGCAAGCCAAGTAGTTATCATCTTAACTTTTAGATTCAAAATTCTGTGTCCATAATTTGACATGGACTGCCCTGGTTTTCCTGGAATTGTTCCAAAGCAGCTTTGACCTTCAAGAAAGGGTTAAGAGCCTCAAATGGCCCTGTTTTGAGTGTGAAACACTTTCAGAATAGTGAGGACAGCATTGGAAAACTTCCAATAAGATTGGAACAACCTGATATAAAATCAAAACAACCACAGACAACATGAAACTTTACAAATGTTTTTCACATTCCCGGGGCTTGGCATTTGGCAGCTTTTGAGCCCCTACTTAGACTTTTTAATTCGCTTCGAATACTCAGCTCTGATTCCTTGATTAAAATAGGAAGCATTATCTCTGAGTAGTCAAGTGTTATTTGGACATGGGACAGTAAGCAGAAATGGACGCAGGGAGAAGATGATGGCTACTTTGGTGAGAATAATGGTATGTGTAAATCAGACAGGAATGTCAGTATTGGACTAGAATCTGGGAGGCCCAGCTCCAAATCCACATTCGGCCACGGATGCTCTTGGGCAGATCATTCTCTCAAATGAACAGGATTGTTGCAATGGTAAAACCAATGTATGATGATGCTTGGGCATTTGGAGGAAAGACAAATAAATATTAATAAATTGTCTGCAGCCTTTGTGTAAAAAAGCAAGTTCTGTTGGAGGAAGTTGAGCTGAATCCTCTTTCAATACTGCTCCGCTGTTTTTTCTTCTTCTTCTGTCATTGGCTTTAATAGGAGGTAGCTTTATGCCCATTTGCTTAATCTCAGACTTGTTCTATTGGAAGTTCTGCTGCTTGGACTTTTTTTTTTTGGCTAGACAGTCCAATCTGTCTTTCCTGTTTGGCCTCTATTCACTTTATCCTGCTCTCTTATTTATGGTCTTTGATTTGATTGCAACTACACATCTGCATCATGGTTACCTGTTTCTTCCTACCACATTTTTTTTTTTAAATTTTATTTTATTTATACATTTTTCTTTAACATACCGTATATACTCGAGTATAAGTCGACCCGAATATAAGCCGAGGCACCAAATTTTACACAAAAAACTGGGAAAACTTATTGACTCGAGTATAAGCCGAGGGTGGGAAATGCAGCAGCTACTGGTAAATTTCAAAAATAAAAATAATTAATTTGGGAAACGATCTCACTATCATGAAAGGTTTAATTGATTCACTAACCCAAAAGAAGAAGATGATGATGACAGCGGGAGGCAGGAGTCACTCTCTTCCCCTCCCTCGGAGGCCCCCTGAGTCAGGAGTCACTACCGCCGGCACGGCCCCAGTCCCGCCGCCTCGGGAAGGGAAAGGCAAAGCGCTTTTTGCCTTTCCCTTCCCGGCTGGGGCTGTTGGGAGTCGCTGCCGCCGGAGGCCGCGACTCCACACCATTTTTTTTTTCAGAGGGGAATCTGACTCGAGTATAAGCCGAGGGGGATTTTTTCAGCACAAAAATTGGGCTGAAAAACTAGGCTTATACTCGAGTATATACAGTACATAAGTGCTTAGTAAACAGTGTATTATCTGGGTCAATTTACTTATACATAGTCATAATTTCCAATTTCTAATTTCTACCTCTATTGTTGTAACCATTGATAAAACAAATCCCGTGTTAAAAAGTATTCTGTATCTTCTTTATCTTTAATGTCAACCTATCCATTTCTGCACAATCTAGTATTTTTGTAATTATATTTTCTTCTGTAGGTATTTCCTCATTTTCCCAGTGTTGTGTGCCAATAAAATTCTCACTGCTGTCAAGACATGTAATATTAAATACATATTCCCTTTATCATATTTTTCTGGTAGTATACCTAGCAAAAATGTTTCTGGCTTTAAATCTATATGCTGCTTTAAAATCTTCTCTAACCATGTGTGTATTTTCATCCACATTTTTTTTTTTTTTTTTGCTTTTGAACATGTCCACCACCTACCCCATATTCTTGAATAACAATATATACCAGTCAAAAGACACAGTTGGGCCCTACTAGCCATGTTCCTGCAAATATCTGATGGGGTTTTCTTTTCTTGCTTTCTTTTTGGTAGGGCATCGTTAGGAAAAGGTTAAAAATATGATCTGATTATATTATTACTGACAGCAGGGACAGAGTTGATATGGACAGTAGTTAATAGAAGAGGAAGCTGGGTCAGCATATGAGAGGCATAGCCCCTCTACCTCTTCTCCAGTGCTGTGTTGCTACTTGTTTGGCAGTGGATAACGGGGGCTGCCAGATAACGAGGCCCACCCAGGTGTTCCACTGGCAATAGCCTGTGGGGTGTATGCAGCTTAGAAGGGGTACATACGCATCTATCCCAAAGCCTGCTTAAAATAAAAGTGTTCACCTTTTGAACTTGCCACATTGTGGATTTGTAAGTGTGCATGTGTGTTTTGTCTTGGATCTACTCTTGTTTCCTTTGGCTGCTTTTTTACAAGGATTGTGAGAAAATGTACTGCTATTTGCAGTGCAGCAGAGCGATAGAATCTTTCTATAAGTAAATGAGGCTGTTTGGCTAGCAGATTTGCTTTGCCCATCTTTCTGTTGTGCTTTTGCAGAAATCTGCAAAGAGCCTCTCACTGCACACAGAGGGTGTTCTCTGGCATGCAGAATCCACTCTGTGCACGACCCATAATAACCGCAATGGTTGGGAGCCGGGTGAAATCACAGCAACTCCTGTGTGAAAGATAGCAAGCCAAGCCAAGTAATTGCACTTCCTGAGTCATTGCTGAGGCTGTGGGCTAGAGTTCTTCTCCAGTGGAAACATGTTATGCATACTAACCTCGCTGCAGAGCTCCCTGAATCAATGACAGAACAGAGCTAAACATTTCTCTGTTGCATGCTTCACAGTGAGTGAAAGAACTAGATGGATGTGGATCATTCTAGGAATCTTGTGTCATCTTAAAGTAGCAAGTTATTGTCTGATCTATAATGATGCTTGAATGTTTACCACTGGCTGTATTTCACTGGGCTTGTCTGGGGCAATCTGAGACTGCTGGTTAACATGCTAAGAATCTTAATTAACAGTGGAAGAAACAGTAGTGACAGTGAGAGATGGATCAATCCTGTTGGCTTAATTACCCCACCAGAGTTTTGAGTACTTGCAGTAAAATTGAGGATTTGGTATGTTAAAATTTTAATTGGTCTGCAGAAGAGTGGGATTCATCATGAGGGGGAGAGAGGATTTGTCAGCTTCAAACCCTTTTCCTCCCCATTCAGTCAGCTGAGAACTGGCTGCTTGCTTATCCAGGGAGGCCCAAGTCTTGCAGAAGCTATTCCGTGCTTAGTCTCCTTTTCCTCCAACCAGCTTCTCAAGAGGTCATGCACGTTGTCTACAGACAATCCCCTTCAGGCTAGTTCCTTGCGATGGCTGCATTGTCAATAATGATTCTTCTTCTTTTGTTCTTGCCGCAGGAGGGGGATTCACTAGGGACTATGGAGAAGCTCTGCAGGCAGCTGACCTACCACCTCAGCCCCCACTCTCAATGGCGACGCCAGGGCATGGTGAAGAGGAAGCCGCAGGCTTGGTGAGTAAAAGTGGGATGGCTGGAGACTACCCTTCTGGTCATAGCAGCAAGTTGAAACCTGTGGAAAATACAAGGGGTAGCATCCATGTGGAGAGAGGAATTCAAGACATTTTAAAATAGTCTTCAGTTGTTCTCAAATGCAGCAGCCTGCAGGTAGGCAAATAAAACACACACCCAAATTATAACTCTGCACTGGTTATCTAGATGTTTCGAGCTGAATTCCAAAATCCTGTTTTTACTGTATCTACAAACCCATATATGAACTAATTGCTTATATCTTGAGGGTTTATTTTCCACATAGAAGTGACCCATGAGAATGGTGTGGTGGCCTAGAAGTGGAGCCCTCACCTCACAATCGGGAGGCGGTGAGTTCGATCCTAGGTTGAGGCAGATATTTCTCTCTCTGGGCATGATGAGTATATGTCTGCTAAATATAGCTCCACATTGGTGACAGGAAGGGCATCCAGCCAGTAAACGCTCACCTCCATTCAGTTGCCCAGACACCACCCCGTAAGGGAATATGGGGTCGTTAAAAGATGATGATGATAGAAGTGACCCATGCAGTGCAGGCCAAATCTATTAATGGTACCAGGCGAAGGAGGTAAAGAAAATTGGGGTTCGCAGTTAGCCTCTTTCTTTGGTGGCCCCTGTACTTTGCAGTCACCTTCCCCTCAAGACTAGGCTAGTGTTCATCTTGATGGCTTCCCACAAGCTAGCAAAAATGGTTTGTGTTTGAGGGCATTTGGGGAATGATGTCATCTGTCCGTTGACTTCTGTGAGATGGGTGGCATATAAGTGTAATAAATAAATCTGTTCCTTGATTGATGAATTTGTGATTTTTTAAATTTTTGTGTGAATTGGGTATGTCTAATCTAGTGAAAAGAAGAACTGGGGGTGACATGATAGCAGTGCCCCAATATTTGAGGGGCTGCCACAAAGAAAATGGGATCCAATGCATCAGAAGACAATGCATCAGAAGACAAGACAAGAAAATTAGTCTCCTGCTTGGGCGGAGAGTTGGACTAGTCACTAGATGACCTACAAGGTCCCTTCCAACTCTGTTTATCTGTAATCTGTAATTCAGTTTTTTATGGGTCTAATTTATTTATTGGGCTTATAGATTACATCACAGTAGGCTCTGAATAGCACACATACCCAATATAGTAATTGGATTAAAATAGTACATAAAAATAAAAACTTAAATACCCAGGCATCATTACTGTATCAAAAAATTCAAATAAAGATGTTTTTTCTATAGGAAGAAACCAGGTAACATAACTGTAAGAACCAGGTCTTTATAGCTTTATAGTTTTTTGAAAACTCAGAAGTGTGGGGTCAATCTAATTTCTGGGAGGATGCTATTCTGGAGATGGGGGCAATAACTGAAAAGGCCCTGTGGCTTATCCGATTGGTGTTTTTTGCTGAAAGACACTAAAAAAGTCTCAAAATATGAATATGTGACCAGAGGAAGCTGCAACCAGTTGTAAATGTTAGGTGGTTACCAAGTGCTAGGATTGCAATCATATACTCATGGGTGTGGTGTAGCAGTTGTAACTGTAAGAATGGGTTGTAGCTTTTTCCAACTTGGTTATAACATTGAGTGATTGTTAAGCAACCAGACATAAATCAAGGACTACCTGTGTGAATCCCTCAGATAACACTTTATTGCTTTTGATAGAAGAGAAGCTTTGTAGCTCACGGTTGAACTGTGGGTTCCTTGGTGGTCTCTGAGCTTGGTTGCTTCTGATGAGGTTACCTAATTTGGTAATGAAACGTCTACAAGAAAACAATCAAGTTGAGAGACTGCCAAGGACACAACTTTATTGCTTATAACAATTTATTGTTAAAACCACTGTGAGTCTGTGTAGTTATGGGAGTGGTACATATGATCAAGTCTTAATCTTTGAGGAAGAAACTTTTGAAACATGATCCTTGGTATAATGCTGGCTAGATTTGCAATAGGTAAAAAGGGCTTGATGCTCTGAGTTTCACCATGTTATAAGAACTATTAGGTTGTCATGTGGTTTATTTATGTGAGGATAGCATAAGCATACATTTCTGCAGGTACTAAACAATATCAAGTTTCAGGTGGTAGTAAATAGAATGGCACATGAAAACAGGACCAGGATGACAAAGGGCATTTGGGAAGTAGCTCAGTTCTCTTCTCCTTTACACTTCTCAAGTTAAGGAAAGCTGTACAGTATTCTGGGCTAGACATAGTATTTTGCTATCACTGGGAAAGTACTATAAGGTCTTTATAAGAAAAAAAAAATTACTCATGTGGAATCAGCCGTTTGAAAACAGCTCAGTATGTCTTGTTTTACTGTAGCATCTATAAGGACATCTGCAACACTTAATGTTGCACTTCTGAATGTTTTGTTTTATTTCCCAGTGTTTAATATTCCTGCCCTTGGCTACAATAAATGAGGAGGAGGAGAATAGTGTATTATGTGAACCCAACGACCATGATTTCTTAACCCAGATTTAAGATGTAACATGTTCTGTGAATAAAGCTACTATGTTTAAACTATCCAGGAGAAATTTACGGTAGCAAAATAATCAGAAGAATGACTTGGGAATGGTTTCCTTGCTTTTTATTTCACCTCATGATTGACTATCACCTGTTAACGTGGCTAAACATAACAGAGAGCAAAGTTGTGTCCACTGCCAAAAAAATTGATGGCAGATGCATGTGAAGGAAGGTGCTTCATTCCCCTGGCATGAGTTGGGCTGAGCACATCTCCTTGAGTCTACTTGAAACCGTTTCTCTTCTCCGTTTTCCTGTTTTCAGGCCACAGTGTCTCCTGTGTGTGTGTGTGTGTGTGTGTGTGTGTGTGTGTGTGTGTGTGTGTGTGTGTAACAATTCCTAGTCAAGTGACAAGTCCTTATTAGAGGAAGCCTAAACATTGGCTCAGTTGATAGTAGGATACAAGTAATTTAATACATACCAAATAGATCCCCAGGCAATGCAAAAGTACCAAATTCTCTTCACATTCCAATTTTAGAACAGAAGGGGTACCAAGGATTAAGGTGGAGATGTGGGAGAAATTGGAAAATAGCTGCCAGTGGTTAGAATGCAGTATTGCAGGCTGACTCTGACCATTGCCAGAAGTTTGATCCTGACCAGCTTAAGGTTGACTTAGCCTTCTATCCTTCTCAGGTGGAAGACCCAGATTGTTGGGAGCAATATGCTGATGCTGTAAACTATTTAGAGAGTGCTGTAAAGCACTATGAAGCGGTATTTAAGTCTAAGCACTATTGCAATTGAGTAGCTTTTATTATTAAGCATACTGTCAGAGTGATAGTGAACAAGCTTGAAGAAATATTCTTGAGTAAGTGAATAGTCCTGTTTTTTCTCCTTAGAATTGGGTAGGATGGAGTATTGGTGGAATATTGACAGTGGGATATTAGCAAAGACAGTATAGAAAAAAATTGCTGGTGGCTTCTTCAATCCAAGTGAGAGATACAAAAAGGAATGGCAACACATATTTTCAACTCATGGACCATTATGAATCAATACACTGAGCTGAGATTTCTCATCATGCTAAGCAGTAAGAGGGCATTTTAATGGTATTATCCTTTGACAAAGTGGAATTTTGTCAACAGTATTAAATATCTGGGGGTGCTGATAACTAACAATCTCTCCACACATCATCCTTAGCGAAGCATACAAACCAGGATCTGCATTTCCTGTATCGGATGAGGAGAGCACATCTTTCTCCTTCTATCCTGGCCACTTTTTACAGAGGCATGATTGAGAATGTTTTAGCAAACTGCATCACTGTTTGGTTTGGTGGCAGCAGTGCTTCAGATAGAAAGTCCATACAGTGAGTGGTTAAGGACAGCCGAGAAGATTATAGGAAGCTCACTTCCCATTATTCAGGATATTGTTTATAAGCACTATGTGCTTAGAGCTCAAAATATTGTTAGAGAATCCACACACCCACTTTATGGTCTGTTTCTTTTGCTCTCCTCTGGGAGAAGGTTTCAAAGTATTTCTAGCAGGACTACCATATTCTGTAAGCTTTGTTCCCTAAGCCATCCATCTGGTAAACTCGCAATGTTCATTTTTCTCGCCATGTACATGTATACATCCAAATTAGACTGTGTTGTTTTTCTGTATTATATATGTCGGTATATGCATAATTTTATATTTATTTATTCTGTCATGGTTGTGTAGGGTATATTGGAAGTGGTAACCCTTTGAGAGTTGTATGCAATGATATTTTATTTAAATGTATGCTGATTAGTCTACATTCAAAGTGACAATAAAGCTACTCTATTCTATTGCCAACCAGGCTGAATTTCCCAGCTTCACATTCTTTATATACCTTTCCCAAAGCCTGATTGATGCCTGTCTAGGTGACATTAAGGAGAACCAGTAGAGTAGGCAAGGTCTTGAACTGGGACCTGGGAAAATCAGATCTAGATCACCCCTTGAGCTTGTTTGACAATTTTGGATTAGTCACACTCTTTCGATCCTTATAAGATGGTGATTTGTCAGGATAAAATTAGGGGAAGAACCTCATACGTGATGCCTTAAGCTTTTAGAAGAACAAAGTACAAATAGAGTGACCATAATAATTTAATAAGAGACTAAAAGCAGTCAGATATCTCCCCCTGCAGGCTGCCCACTGTTGATTAAATACAGACCTTTCCTTCCTCAGCTTCTGTCTCTCTGCCAGAGCTTGTTTTTTTGTCCATTGCCATGATCTGCACAGCCTTTGCCAGGCCAGGAAAGTTTGCCGATGGCTGGCACATCCTGGCTGATAGAGTGGTCCTTCTACCTGGCATTCATCTCCCTGTCCCCTTGGCCATTTGAAGGGCTTGAGACCACACCATCCAAAAGTTTCTGCTGCTCTTGCATCCAGCAATTAACTGTTTCAGTTAATTTGACATCTAGCAAAAAAGACTAGTCCATTATGAAGATCTGGCTGCGCTTTGAAGTTGAGGAAGCATAAATGAAAGAGTTGTGTTGTATGATTTTAATTACCAGTCTC